AAAATGGGAATTTAGTCCACTGTTCATAGTTTATAGGAGGTTCAAAGTCAAAAAGAGAAATATTTTGAAGATCAACGTGTCCCCCCCCCAGAAATTCAAGGTAGACTGTTTATATGAGCATTTTGTCTTCCCTCAGCTCTTGGTGTGGTATGAGGGAGACAGATACCTAGAATGAGTATAGCAAGGTTGTCATCTGTCAGAAATCATCTTATTACTGCTGAAAATTATAGAAGTCATTTGCAATTTAAATCAGTGCAGAAAAAAGTCACTTAGAATAGAAATTACAAGTATTACTGTAAATAATAGTATTAAATAGTAATAATAACAATATTGCTAAAACAAAAGCCCCTACCTGTGCCAAGTATGTAGATTATATGTAGGAATGAAATCTACCAGTGTAAACCAGGTATTAAATAATTAAACAACATCAGAAAAACCATTAGCAAATCTAGCAGGAAGACTTTTTAATTTGACATGATCTAACTTTCCATTTGTAAGTAGGTTCCTGTCTTCTATTTCTCTGGCAATATAATGCACATACAAAAGCATATAACTTATAACTAATTCCATCACTCTGTACCCAAATCCAGTGGCCATTTGCATACTGGATATTGTCTACCTGTAGCTAATTGCACTGTTGATGGCTGATGATGACTGACAATGATGCAGACTGCCAGACTCCTTTAGGCTACTTTCAAATGTTCTCATCTTCCTGTAAAAAACAGCCTTTGAAATGCCATTTGACACTGCGGCTGGCCTTGAGTTACCTGCAGCAGGATGTGCAATTTATAAATCACATGTGGAATGTGAATTTAAAAAAAAAAAAGAGGTCAGATTTGGGTTGGATGTCCTTAGCTTTGGAAGCATAGTGAGCTACTGACCTCTAGTTGAGAAAAATAAGATAGCTATTAGCTCTGGTCCTGTTTCTAAAATATATTTTCTTCCTGTGTGACAGCCTGCAACATAGTTTATTTTACTTCTTCGAGGCAACAGGCAAAGCTTTCATATTTTTCCAGGCAACTCATTCAAACCATTTAAAATGAATGAGAAAGGCTTCATTTTCTAAAGTCATATATTTTTTTTATGCACCAGTAAAACTTTTGTCTGTACTCACAGAAATTCAGCACAGATGTGAAATGAAATGACTGGCCATTAAAACAGCAGAAGCCAAACAGGGGCTGGAGGGGACATTGTTCTTGGAGCAGCTTTTCCATTTGAAATGGTGCAAAGAAGAAAACTGAACACTGTATTTACTTCTCCTCTAAACCACTATTTTGTTACAGACTGATCAAAGACACAGGCTGCACACAGTGTGCAAGATACAATATTTTATGCATTTATACAAATATATATACAAGATACAATATATTGTATTTTACACAATATAATACGAGAGACCAATACTTGTTTTTCCTTTGTAAAATCACATCACAAATGATGAAGAGGGAAAAGGGAACAACCTCAGGAATTCAGTGAGGTCTCTTGATATGTAGGACTCATCCTATAAACTGAGGAATAGTGAGATGCTCAGCACCAGACAGGATTAAGTTCTCAGCTCTTACTTAAATGCATTAAAATCACAATATTCATCCACAAATCATTATTGCCAGCCTATGAATATCTCCCTAATTTCTGTGTCTGGGACTTTAAAAATAAGGTTTTTGGGTTGTTTGTTTGGTTTGTTTTTTTTTCCCATCCTGTCTTCCTTTTCCTGAAATGTTTTGGAACCACCTTTCTCCAAAATTTTTGGATGATTATACAAGGATGACAGGATGAGTATAGAATGAGTAAATCACCTGCAGAAGAAATAAGGAATCTGTACATTCTATCCGTCATAGAACAAATCAAGACGTTCAGTTAATAAATAGAAGCTAATGAGGGTGAAGTATGAATAATTTATGCTCGCTGTTTTTGATAGTTGTCAGTATCTACCTTTTACCTCCCTTCTGTATCTCCTGAATACAAATGAAACATTTCACAACAGTTTCACTTTGCTGCAAAAACTTGGTTTCTTCTACAGTGTTCCTGCATTTGGGAACAAATCTTGTGTCTCACCTTAAGATAAGGAAATTATTGTGGATCCTGTGTGAAGATGACACTGTCAGATAGGACCAGTGATGCTATTTCTCCCCAGATTCTCATGGGTGAGGTACAGCATTGCTGTGGTTTGGTGTCTGACTAGGAGGGTTTGCTGGGTTAAATGGACTCCTTTCCCCTGGCCAAGGAAATTTATGTACTCTCAGTAATGAAATGGACAATGGAAATTGATTTACTTGCTATGAGTACAGACGTGATCAAGCTTGTTCCCATTTCAAAAGGTGAGATCAAATTTCGGAGTGGTCTTGGCAAATTGGAGAAAGAACAATATTGCAATTTAATAATGATGAGTAGCAAGCCAAACCTTAGGAAGTCATAACCAATGTCACAGGTTATGGAGAATGATGGAACAGGCAGTAGTTCTGTGCTAAAGATTGCACCAAGTTTGTGAAAACACACTTCAGGAAAAGCTGCTCCAATCAGAATACAAAATAATGATCTGATGTTGAGAAAATAAACACTTTGAGGGAAGACTGAAAGAAAAAGGATTGATTTTTCCCCAAGAACAAACTAAGAAGAAATAGGTTAAAGTATTCCAGCCAAAACAAACTGGAAAAATTAAGATAAAATCAGTCTTTTCTGTCCTCTGAGGGTAGGGTTGCTGTGAGGGGGATAAGCCACTTTCCACCTTTAAGGATATTTAAATACTGGAGTTGTCTGTTTACATTGTAGAATTTTCATCAATATCTGTTTCTGTGAACATATTAAATAATAATCTGATGGAAAATAGTGCAGGATATGAGTCTTACATGAGGTCAAGGACAAATAATTGAATTAAGCCTTAGCTCTAGAATTGAACAGACTTATTTCCCAAATTCACTCACTTCTGTAATGTCTGCCATCAGACTTTTGACTTTTTCAGACTTTTGTGATATGGGAAAAATTAAAAATAGCAAAGATATTCTAGATTTGTGTTTCTGTATCAAAGACCTAGGTCTTGACTCTTACTAAATGATATTTCTTTCCTTTGTACAAATTTAGATTCAGGAATGCTAACTTCTACTTTCCAACAAAGTGTATTTGGTCTTATTCTGCTGTTAATTGCTCTTGATCTGTTAAAGAATCATGATAATGTGCATCTATTTTACTCTTAGGGATGTTAATTAATATAGGATGTGATATGTTTTAATGGGAGAATGATTGAGAGTTTTCCATTGTTCCTAACAGAATATGTGTATAGTAGTTAACAACACAGATGATGACGAAAACAAAAGAATTTGGTTGCTTTGGGAAATGGTACAAACTAGTGTAGACTGGAACAGTGGTGTTAAGTCAGAGTGCATTTTCTTTTAGATTTGGATGCATGTTTTTCCTTTACAATAAAATGAGTGCAATCGTTCACTAACAAAAGTTTGGCTTGGAGAAGACCTTTCACAGTAGAACATTCCCTTCTCTTTTTAAATTACAGGGAGTTAAAATAGGATGCGAACAAAGCACTGAAGTGACTATTTGTCATTTATATTGAATGTATTTATGGAATTCCTATGAAAGGTGAGCTGTTTGTTTTCAATTTTTATCTGATAACCAATTATATCAGAGACATCAATAATCATCAGTGTCAGGACCTTCTAAACTGAAAGTCCTGGCTAAAACAACTGATTTGGTTTTCCATATTAAAACGCCTTAGAATTTCACAGGGAAAAATGTCAGTGTGAGTTAAAACCACAGTGACTTGACATTTGGCTCTTAAGTGGGACTTTACAGATCAGGCACCCATCATCTTTGGGTGATAATCTTACAAACATAACTTGACAATGCAGATAGGGACGTACTGCTATGTACATATTTAACCCAATAGTTTAGGACATTTTCCCCCAATAAATATGTATATATTTGATCAATCATTTAAAATCAGAGAAATTTAGAAGGTGCAGTGGTCTAAACCCTTATCATTAGATCTCCTTGTACTCACACAACACATGTCAATACATACCAAAAGCTTTCTCACTACTTAAAAAAAATTAATTTAATTGACCAATGCGGTGGATATGATTTTGTTTTTCTGAAGAATCTTTACTTATATTAAAAAATACAAGTGTAAATGGGAACATTTATCAACCTGAATACCCAGATTTGAGAAGTTATCAGACATATCAGCCATCTGGTATTTCAATAAATGGACCTCCTGTTTCAATAAGACATAACCCCACTAAGATAACTAATAAATAATTCACATTTTGTCAGCTTGCTTAACTTTCCCTTAAGCGATGCATATGCTGTAATATTTTTCTTAACACATGATATTGTGAATTGAGGTACTTGCAGTATGAAAGTGTTATGCAGTTTAAAGCAAAGGTATAATGAATAAGGAAAGTTAAATGTTTCCAGGTAAATCAATCAGCAAACCTATACTTTCCCTATGCTGCTCATTAAACATTGGCAAAGGAAGTTGTGAAACTTTTTAAAATGCTTTTATTCATTTAACAGTGTAATAAAAATAATATTTTCATTGGTTATTTGAAACCCATTAATTTCGAGAAAGAAAAAATCAGTCCAAAATGGTTACAGGTAATGAGGTACACTAAAGATGTGCTTCACAAAAAATACTGAAAATAGTGCATGGTTACTAAAATTTGCACTCAAACACTGTTTCTGAATATACAAATAAACTTCCATTTACACACCTTCCCCTTTGGAGTTAAATAAAGAAATAATTCCAATAAATGGAGAACTGCAAAGTTTTATGTCCCATATTTAATAGCATTAAGTCAGGTGCATTGCACTGATAGGTGTAATATTGCTGCACTGTGAATGTCATGGTGTTATATGATTCTTTTTTTATCCACCTTGACTTTTATCTGTGGGATCCCATGCAAATGGAACCCCATAAACCAGGCAGTGTGCAATAACCTACAGACTGTGGGGTCAACACAACCCAAATACCAATTTTCTCTGTGCTTTACCTTATCCTTCTTCTGCTTCTCATCTTGGTATATTTTCCAGTGCTCCCCATCATTGCTGTAGGCAAGCTTGTAGGACCCCACAAACTGGACATGACCGAAATCTTTAGCTCCCTGGGTAATGATCCCAGTGATTTTTGTAGGGACGAGCAGGTCGACCTGAATGGAACAGAAATAAACAAAATAGAGGAGAATGTCATTAGAATAGCTTCTGTTTGCAGTCTGACCTTACACCACACCAAAGCAAAATGGTGCAGCTTTCACCATGGCTCTCCCACAGAAAGTAATTTTCCTCCTCCAAGCTCTAAGTCAACCGATTTATTTTATTTTTCATTTTTTTGTACTTATTGTTTTTACTACCTAATGGCACAACAGAGCTAACCTCATGCCACTTTGTAGTGTGTTGAGTGTCATACACGGTCCCAACAAAACAGCGAGCACCACTGGGAATGATGTGTAACTAAAAAGTGTTCCCACGTGCTCCCAATAATCAGATTCCCCAAGTGCCTTTCAATTTCCTTTACAGACCCAGAGCCCATGCCTTACTAAGTTTTCTAAAATATCTACTATCATGCTTCTTTTCCTGCTGAAATTTCTTCTTTCCTTATGCTTTTCTTTCTTTTTTATCTCGAGACCTCAAACTTTCTCATTCCTTGATTTTCAATTTTTTTTTTGAGTTCTTTATTTTGTAATCTTAGCACAAGACTTTTAAAAATGCAAGGCAGGAATCCTAAACTCTAATAAAATCTTAGCTTCCAAGTACCTTTCGTATGGGTCAGCCAATCTGTAATCAGTTTTTTTGAGCCAGAACCAAAACCGGATATAACAGATTTGGGTCAGATGCCTTGGATTAAAATGATCAAGGAAAAGAATACAATAACAGAAGTAAATTGACCTATTAATGTATTTTCAGAGGAAGAATGAAGAGCTGAATTCCCTATCAACACTGACATTTTCTTGAAATGTGAGAGTATAACTTAGGTTTCCTTCTGTGTCCCCTAGAAATGTGGCAAGCCAATAAAAAAAAAGAAAAAAAAAGGTAGATTTATTTCAAACAATAAATGGTTGTGAAGCAGCTGGTATTTTTAATACTGTCCATTAAATCTGGCAAGAGAGACTAACAGTAAAAATATTACAGAAAAATGAGAGGAGGGCTAAATTCCTTGAGAAGAAGATTAATATGTTTATACAGAAAAAAAATACTAAAAAGAGAATGTGAAGAAATTAAAAATCTCTGACTGATCCAAATGCTGAAGATCCAGTGTTGGATTTTTTGGAAGCAGCCTGATCTGGTGGAAGGTGTCCCTGTCCATGACAGGGGGTGGAATGGGATGAGCTTTAAGGTCCCTCCAATCCAAACCATTCTGTGATTCTATGATGCTATAAAGAAGAAAACACAGAAAAGTGTAAGAGTGCATTTATAAGAACAGAAGAGGAAAAAATGACTCTTTGGAGCAATCAGACAGAGATCCCAACATTTGACCAAAGAGTAGAAAATAATGAGTAGTAAATCCTTTTAAGAAAAGAAGTAACTTAAAAATATTGGATACTGAGATACCACAACCTTAACCAGAAAATGTCAGTGTCCATAGATGTCTCAAGAATTTTGGTTTTACCAGAATGAACTAATTTATTGCCCTCTGGTAGGAGCACTGTTGCTCAGGAGAGCACCCTAGGATACGAGGAAAGTATCTTTGGGAGGCAAAACTCTTTTTGTGTTCTCTCTGTTCAATGGAGAGAGAGAGAGAAGAACTCTCTCAGAGCAGTAGTCAGTTTTGGATGCTTTCATGGATGGCCTGATAGGACTTCTTTCTTTCTATAAGGAGTGCAGCAGGGCTTGGTTCTGCAGCCTAAATATGTCTCTGGGAAATGAACACTGCTAATTAGTATAAGTCTTTCATAAATTAATAAACATCAGGTTTCCAGACCTTCCTTCCAAATATTTTGGAGTTTGAATGAATAGTCTGTTTTTCAAAAAAAACCCCAACCCCAGCCTGATCTGGTAAGAAATCACTAATTGGTCAACACTTTCAGGTAGCTTTTGAACTAAACCTTTGAGAGTCAACTTCAGGTTATCTTTATAAATAATTTAGACATTAGCATTTTACAAGTGTAACCTCCTTTTAGCAGAGAATGCTTCTTGTACTAAAAGTCAATGTCTCTTCTGTTAACTTGAAAAAATGCCTCCACAAAACCAGTTGTTTATTTTTAAAATGCTGAAAGTAAGCTGGAAGGATTTCACAAATATTTAACATGGCCATGACACTTGGAGTATTTCTCATTGAAATTCAGAACAGGGAGAAAAAAAAATTCTCATTAAGATTCAGGGGATTCCAAAGGTAAAATCACAATAAATCTCTATTATCACATGATCTAGTGTTAATAAAAATGTCCTACTAATGATTGTTTTGTGCTTATAGGACATATCCATTGGCCTTGTACTCTTGTTCAGGAAAATGATGTGGGAAGCTGGAAGGTAATTTAGCATATGCTCAGTGTTTTTCAAAAAGACTTATATAGGACTATGTAGAATATATGTGTGTGTGTATTATATTAAAAAAAATGTGAAAGAAAAAAGTAGTATGAAAAGATAGACTCTGTTCCAGGTCTTGACAATACAGACAATACCTGTTACTTGAGATGGAGGAACAGAATAAGGGATATAGCACCACCTTCTCCTTCTCATATTTTAGCACCCTTATTTACTAATTTATTCATAAGATGATGTGAAGCTTTCAAGCCACAAAGATCATTATTAACCCAGTATTAAATAAATACAGTTTTTGCTCTGTTGCTTTATTACCTTCTACAAATGGTTAACATTCTTTTTTTTCATTCTGTTCATTGAAACTACTTTAGAACAGAAAGGTGAGAAGAATTTACACCATTTGTAGGCAAAACATCTGCATTAAAGTAGCTTAAATGAAAGTCATAACTTCCCATCAGGACACAGAACACATTTATTCAGTTAGTGCAGATTGCAAGTAACAGACAATCAAACAAATTACTGGGGAGAGAAGTTGAATTAACACACAACCACTATGTATTCTTCAGAGTTGAATGTGATTAGGATTAGAATGTGACTCTCGGTTTTTCAATGCAGCAGAATTTAGAATAAGGTAGAGGCAATTAGTCTGCAACTGATAGGATCATTACCTCCTTACAAGAAGAACCATGGTTTACAGTTAATGTACGTTTCTACAAGGAGCTGATCAAAATGCAGTTTAACATCTTGTGTCTGAAAGAACCCTCTCAGGCTATAACTATTCCCTTTTCCCACCTTGTTTCAGATATTACAGATGATTCTGTGTGATTTGGAGGAGAATTAATTTAAAGAATGTACAAAGATAAATCCACCTGACTGTGAAACATTTTTAACGAACCACTGCCTGGATGTGCAGCATGAACCCCATGTCTGTGCAGTTAGATGTGTAGTGATGAGTACTTGTACTGGAAATAGGTCTTCTGGATCAGGAGAAACAACCCTTCTGTTGCCCAGAGAAGCTGTGTTTGTCCTATCCCTGGCCTGGAAGTGTCCAAGGTCAGATTGGCCAGGGCTTGGAGCAGCCTGGGATAGTGGAAATTGTCCCTGTTCATGGCAGTGGGCGGGACTGGATGGGCTTTTTAAGGTCCCTTTCCACCCAAAATGTCTTGCAATTCCATGATTATGAAAACAGTCACATGCAAGCCTTGCCTAGTCCAGAGCTAATCAACCATAACTCTCAGAACTCGAAGTACAAACAGTAACTTAACACTGCCAAGTCCACCACTAAACCATGTCCCTAAGCACCATAGCTACACAGCTTTTAAATCCCTCCAGGATGGTGAACTCTTGTTCCAGCACTTTACCACCCTTTCAGTGAAGAATTTTTCCCTGATCCAACATGACCCTCCCCTGGCACAGCTTGAGGTTGTTTCCTCTGGTCCTGTCCCCTGTTCCTTGGGAGCAGAGCCTGCTCGCCCCTGCCCCAGCACCCCCCCCAATGCCACCCTCCCATCAGGGAGTTGTGGAGAGTGAGAAGATCCCCCTTGAGACTCCTCTTCTCCAGACTGAGACCCCCCAGCTCCCTCAGCTGCTCGTCATCAGACTTGCAGTCTAGGAGAGCACATGAATAATAAGCCCTGTGTGGACAGGACCCAGGAGAAGAAATGAGCATCTTTCATGAGGTCATGTGTGGAAGGTGAAGAACCAGACAGCTCACACAGTCTCTCCTGGAAACAGAGCCATGCTGCAATTCTGGCTTAGGAGAAGACAAGCCTCAAGAAGGCACAAATGGCAGAAGTTTCCATGACCTCACATATTAATGGGGGGTTTAGATAAGGTCATAGAATTCCAGAAGGCTGGGTTGGAAGGGAACTTAAAACTCATCCCTTTCCAACTCCCTGCCATGGGCAGGGACACCTTCCACTAGACCAGGTTGCTCCAAGCCTGGTCCAACCTGGCCTTGGACACTTACAAGGCAGCAACAACAGAAGAAAGGACCCCAAGTATACAGAGAGCACCAGACCTATTTCACAGTGAAGATAATGGTGAAATGGCTCACTTGACCTTCAGCTGTTCATCTCTTCATTTTAGGATTATTTAAAATGCTCATTTTACTCCTCTCCTTATACAGATAATTATGTTGCTGCTTCCAGTACAGCTAATTCTATGCTCAGCTTCTCTTGTTATTTTAGAGGTGCCATTTTTTTCAACAGGTTTTCTTTTATTTTACCTTTCTGATTTTGTAGACTTTTTTTTTTTTTTAAATCACTTGTCAGATAACATTGATGAATTCTGGGTAGCTGTACTGTACTTGGCCAATAGAAAAGCACCAGGATCAAAAATAAAAAACTTGGTCCAACACAAAGTGGGAAAACTATTGGTTGCTTAAGGCTCTTACCCTTAAGAAATTGAATGTCTCACCCTTAAGAAATTGAAAAAAAAGAAGATTGGCCTAGTCTCCAGCAGCTAATTCACCAAGGTCCAGATCACCAACATCACATATGCTGGTCTTGCAATGAGGTCTGAGATATTTTGGGATGCTGAAGATAATGGCAGGGAGTCATGGATGGGAACCTGAATCCCACCAAGAGAGTCCAATGTACTTAACAGGTAAACAACCTGTGCTGAGCAGGTTATTCACTGTCTATTTAAGACCTCATGATTCCCTTGATTT